GATCACTGCGAAAGCATCTCCAGTGGTCTGGAGGGGCTTTTTTAGAAGGAAAGATACCAACTACCCTACTTCAGCTTCCTCCTGGGAAGCTCCTGGTACTACATGTGATGGCTGTCACACTGCATTCGAAGGACATGGGATACTGAAACACATTCCCAAGGCACACAGAACAACGTGCCCATTTCTACTGCACTCCCAGTAGCTTAAGCAACGACTCACTTGTAATACTGTTTCTGCAAAGCAGACATTTCCACCCGGAGGATCTGCTCCACTTTGGCTGGCAGCGATTTCTCCACATCCTTCTTCACTCTGCGTAGCAGAAACGGCTCCAGGACCTTGTGAAGGCTCTGGTAGCCATTCTCTCTACCCTTCCCATGATCCTCTTCAAAATCCTCCCAGAACTCAAACCTACCAACAGAAACAAGGAGGAAAGAGGGGTCAGAATACCTTTTATCACACCAAACAGCATCTATTGAATATGCTCCTGCTGCACAAGACAGGAAAGCATCAACTTAACGGAGATACAGTGGAGGATGAAAGGTTCACTCTGCTCTGGCTAACTAAACAGGTTAGCAGCAAAGCTCAAAGCTCTCTGCACTTAGGTGCCTTCCTTGCATCTTATCTTTGAGCTCCATGCTGACTCCCAGGATCCAGAAGCCCAGGTTTTCCAGTATTCTGCTCCCCTGTCTCCTGCTGACATTCACCTGGCAGCAGTTTCTGAACTTTCAACACCACCCTCCCCCAGGCAGGGCTTTGACAACTGCACTATGATTTACACTGCTCTGAAGGCTCTGGATTGCTGCTTCCTGTAACAGCTCCTTTGAAATCTCTTCTCCTCCACTTGGGAGATCTCAAATCTTTCTTTCACTCTTCCTATGATCCAACAAAAAGAACTTGGGGGACAGCTCTTTCTGCAGTCAAACATAATGTGGTTGGGGAGGGTGGCTGAGCCCTAATCTACTGGAAACCTCAGAAATGGTTGAGACGATTGCTTAAAACGAGTTTAGCTTTTTAGAGGTGCCTCTAAAACAGCAGACAGGTTTGAAAGGCAGGGATTAGGTTTCCTCATCCACTTTGCCTCCAGAAATACTCCTTGTATTACTCATTTACCCTCTGATCTTCACCACCCATGTTTGTTCCCCCTTCACTGCATTAACTGCAGAGTTTAATTCAGGGATTTATGCCACTCTGTGCTCCCTCAAATCTGTTTAACAGACAGGAATAGACACAGAGGTATGTTGTGAAGGACGCTTACTTCTCTGGCATGATGAAATGCAGCAGGGACCAGAGTTCTTTGAGGGAATTTTGAAGTGGGGTGCCGGTGATCAGCAGCCTGTGGTTGGACTTGAAATCAATCAGTGTTTTGTACAGCAGAGAGTCATCGTTTTTCAACCGATGGGCTTCATCCACGCCTAGAAAGGCCCAGTTAATACTTCCCAAAACAGCCTGGAGGAGAAGAAATAAAACAAACAGGTCCCAAGGAGATGCTGGGTCAGACAAGTGCCACCACCTTGCATACACCTCTCTCTCCATGGCCAGAAAGCACTGCAGTGTGCGCTTTCCAGGATGTCCTCCCCAGCCCTGGTGCTGGACCCACCATCAAAGGAGTGGGGCTCAGAAGAGTTTCTTGTTAACAAAATATGGGGACCAAGATGCCTACACTAGGTTGTTCTCCCCAGGAAGGAAAGGTGAAACTCATCCATGCTGTGCAGCACTCCTGCCATATGGGAATACTCTTTCAGCAAGTATACCTATTTTCATCCACCTTTGCCTTACCCAGAAAGCACAGTCCCTCCCCCAGCCCTCTACTCCTTCCTCTCTCCATGCAAAAGCAAACAGTAGCTATACGTTCTCCATCACCACAGAGGACAGTGGGAGATGACATCCAATAGCTGGGGGCTGGCTGTACCCTTTGCAAGCACAAGAAAGCCTAAATAAAACCATCTTTGGACCATTACCCACCTTATCCTTGAGGAGGATCTCATATGTTGTGATAAGTGCATTGAATTTCAACCTTTTAGACTGAGAGTGGATCCACTCATATTCCCGTATCTGCGAGAGGAGACAAATGTTAACTTCCACCAATGTTATAGGGAAAGGAAAAGGAAAGGGTTAATAATCATTATTCAGTGTCGCTATAGCCAGAGGTTTCCACCAAGTCCAAACTCCTGTTGTTCAAGGTGCCATTTGATGAGCTCAGGGTGCCCAAGAAGCAGCTTCTTTTGGTGCACACATGGCTCTTGCACAGGTAACAAAACAAGGTCAAACAGTTTGCTGTTGTGACATTACCCTCATCTGCCAAATGAATGCATCATCTCATCATGACGAGACTCACAACACTGGGGTGCGTGCTGTGCTGTCTGAATAATGCACAACAGAGGACACAAGCATTTTTACACTGCTATACTCCTTACTGCAGCAGTTCTCAGCCCACCACAGTAGCGGTTTCCAGACTCCCTGAGAAAAGCCAGTACTCCTGTGCTCACTCTAAGAGGGGAAATAAGGTAGAAAAGGCCCTGCAGCAGTGAATTACATCCAAGTGCTCTGCTAACACGAGTTCCATCTGCTGGTACTATCCACCAGCCTCCTCAGCAGAATGTGTCACAGGTTACACAGAAGCTGCTGCGTTGCACCCAGTGTTTCCACCCAACCTCACACTCCTCATTCCATACCATGTTCCTGCTCATGAGGTCTCCGATGTAAACCACCACGTTTATCTCAGGTGCCCACACTTCAAACTCTCTCTGCCACGAGGTGAGAGTGGACAAGGGCACCACCAACAGGAAAGGGCCATAGAGCTGGTGCTGATGGAAGAGGTACGACAGGAATGATATTGTCTGAATCGTCTTGCCAAGTCCCATTTCATCAGCCAGGATCACGCTGTTGTTCCTGAGAGGGCAGAGAACAAACATATATGCCCTGTGAGGGCCTTTTTCCACCACTACTAGTTTACTGTGCAGCAGCATGAATAGCAATCCACAACAAGAACAGGAAGGGGGCAGTGCAGAAACGTTTATCTTAACACTTCCAAGTGGATCCCAGGGACATCCAGACTGTACATGGCACTGTAGCTTGCCATGTTAGGAACACATTGTGATGAATCCAAACTGGCAAACGAGGACAGAGGCAAAGGAAGCGGGGAGTCAGTAGCCTAATTTCAGAAGGGTATTTCTCAAAGACTTCAAGTATGTAAGCATGCTGAGCCATGAGTTTTCTTCAGTTAAGGCAATGGAAACTGAGGGCTCATATGCAGTAGGCTCACACAACAGCCAAGTCCAGCCTGTGAACAGGCCCAGACAGGGAAAATGGGTTTTGTTTTCACATAAGGTTTCTGAAGTTCATGATTTAGACAGTTCCTGCTTGCAGTGTCTGCAATGGTAACATTTGAAATCCTTCACGCTGCAGGAGGAGGCCGGGTGCAGACCTCACTTGAAGACAAGAGGGCCAGATTCCACAGGGACAAGAACCAGGAGTCACAAACCCAGGACGTGTACGTACTTGCACCAGGAGTGAGCGAGCCAGTTGAGGCCCTCCAGCTGGTAATCGCGCAGCTCCAGGTTCTCACCACCAGTGTAAGAGGGCTGTTTCTTCAAGGCAACAAACCTCGGTCTCTGCTTCAATACCTGAGAAAGACACTCAAGTAAGGCTCAGTGTTCAGCAATGAAACCTATGAATTCTGCAAAGAATGTGTCTCTCTTCGTTGGTTAAAGTCTGTCCACATTTTCCTAAGCCAGTGCTTATGTCTGCAGTTCGGATAACCGCTCCGCAGTGCTGTTTTCCCTGCTGCCCTCTGGTTCTGATGCCCAGCACTGAGTCCCCCCAAGTGCAGTAAGCTGTACACAATGCACAGGAGATGGCACAAGCACCACCTTCTTTTCTGTCCTCTTTTGGGTTTTCTCCCATTATTCCCATCCCTCCATGGTAGCAGCATCTTGCAGGTTTCCTCTTCCCTCAGCTATGATGTTTTTTCATCCAACTGATATCAAACCTCTGCATTTCTGCTGCAGCTCCTTCTAAGGAGGAAGCACTCTGCAAAGATTCATTAAGCCTCCCACTCCCCAGGGGGGCATAACATTCTCACTGTACACGGAGTAAAGGAAACTAAAAGGAGTTCACATCTCTGCCTTAAAGTACAATACAAGAAGAGCAAACAACCATTCAAACACTGGTGGGAGGATGGGAAAATGTTCTCTGACATTTATCCTGACAAAAACTTCACATTCTCACTGCTTGTGTCATCACCCAGCCTGAAGAAACCCAGCAGGAGGAGAGAAGAGACGGGAGCAAACCTTGCAGTCCCGGGTGGGAATGGTTTTGGAGTTGTTACGGTTGTTGAAGCTGTCGATACAGTGCTGGAATTTCTTGCTGATCAGTGCCTCATCCTCCCAGCTGCACTCAGCATAGGGCAGCCCCATCCACTTACACAGGTATTCAGGGTCATTTGAGGATGTTTTTCGACTGCTTGCTGCAAAAGACGCATAAAACCCCAAACCTCAGCTACTGTGGTTGTGCGGCTCAACCACAAGTGGTGTTCCCAGGGGCAGTCTCAACTACCCGGACAACCACAACACAGGTCTTGGTTAGCAGGAGAAGTCTAGAGGGACCAAAACATGCTCTTTTACCTGGCAGTTCTGAATGTCCCGTTGTGGTCTTGCTGGTCTTCACAGCTGTGGTTGAAGACAGAAGGGAAGGAATGCTTTGGAGTGCTGGCAGCCAGCAGAGGGAGCAGGGCAGACAGGCTGTCACTGCCACACACCCCACAGCTTGTACAGCAATTGTAGGTTAAACAGCTCTCCAAGACAATTCCCAAAGCAATTGCACATCCAGCTGACATGACTGTAATATTACTGAAGTGCTCAGTAAGTCCTGTTATCATTTTCAATATGTAATCATGAAAATCTAACCCCTCAGCTGCCTCGCAGCCTAACCACATCCTCAACCACATTGCAGGAAGTGGTGCTCACAACAGCCAGGCCTCTACTGCTGCTGTTGATGCAAACACCTTGCATCCAAAGGGCTGAAATCAAAGAACTCCAGCAGCAGCAACCCGAACATCCCCCTGGGAACTAGTGTATCATCCCATACTCCAGGCAATGAGAGTGATTGATTCGTGTTGCTTGTAAATACAGATCCGTAAACTTGGAATTGCTGCTGTTCAAATCGCTGCATTTCAGGCACTGAAATACACTTCACACCTATTTTTTTCTCCAGAGATACTGAAGAGAGAGCCATGCACTCACGCTGCTGCCACTAGAGATGAAAGTTCCACTCTTACTTCACCCCTTCACAGAAGTGTTGGGTTCACTTACCTATCACTCTCTCCACTATCTGATACTGTTTGTTCAGCTCAGAAGCCAGCTCCTGTTGGCAGTTGAAATATTCCACATCTTCAGGTGATACCTTGCCCAGCCTAGATGCAAAAAGATCCAACACAAAAAGCCACTGTAATGCTTCTGTCGCAATGCTCATGAAGGCCCCATAGAGATATTGTACTTTGCTATATGGTTCTGTCAGTCACTGAAGCAGACTGCTGCTTATATTGAAGTGTTTTTTAAAGCTTCCTATAATGACAGATCATTACTGAGAAGCAAACGTCACAGACATTCATACTGTCTCCCTGTTAAATGATGCCTTATTCTGCTGCAAGAATCAGTCTCAAAACCAGAGTCAAATTGAGATGGGAGCTGCTACTCCACTTTTATCCCTTCAGAAACACATCATAGCTCCCCTTAAAGTTCATGGGAACATCAGATATAAAATGATGCAAAAACTTTCATACAAACAAGCCCATAATGAACAAGGGTTACTGAGGCTGCAAGCCCTCCTGGGCCAGGGGAATCTGTGCACTGTTTATTTGTTGTCAACTACCCCAATTCTCAAGCCTGGGAAGTGGTAATATTGTGCATTTCATGCCTCTTCCTCTATCTTTCAACACCACAGCCACAGACATCTTCTCTGTGAGGGGAGATGTTCAGAGAGCAGTGAGTGCTGTGCACTGAAAACACTTGCTGTTTTCAACATGCTTTGCAAGAAGAAATCAAATGTTTTCAGACATGACTCTGCAAAAACCTCTGGCTAAAGAGAGAAAGGCCCAAGGCTGAAGTAGAGCATACCATTGCTTGATCTCCTCCTCTTTTTTCTTGAAGTTCTCTAGCTTTTTCAGGCCCTTCACTTTCTGCTGTTGCAGGGACTCATCACTCTCCCACGTGCTATGGATGTATGACCAGCCTTTCCATTTGATCAGGTACTGAACTTCTCCCTCATCCTTTTCAGGATCAAAGTCAGCACTTGGGTTACCATTAGCTTCAGTTGCATACACTGTAGTGGAAGCACCAATGGCTGCAAAAGGAATCAGGCTGCAGTTGGTACCTTTGTTATCAAGCACTGGACATGAACTGAATTAGGGCAGAAGCTTATTTTTCCAATACATCTTTTGTGACAGCACAAAGAATATCCTGCACATTCTGCAGCCCAGTGAGACAGGCACACAAAAGTCTTCCATACAGAACCTTTATAAATCTGTCATAAATGCCTTTTCTTCAAGTATAATTCAAAGGTCTCTTGAAAACACTTACAACCATTCAGCTTCACAAAACCACTCTTGCAAGGCTATGAGAACAAAACATAGGCTTCATTTTCATTATTGTTTTGTCAATGGGGCTGTGAAAAATGACTCTACTGGAAGATCTATTTTCTACTTCAAAGAAGAGAAAAGCAAGAACTGGAGAACAATAACTGAGTCTTAAAATCTGTGCACACTAAATGAAAGTTGCCAAGCACATAAAACACACAAACTTGACCTATTAGGGTTTTCAATACCAGATTTTACAAAAGCTGCTTAGAAGACATAAATAAATGGCATAGAGGAAAGGCTGAAGAGCACTGAAACAACACCCTTGGCCCCACACTCTGAAGGTGCCAAAGCACTGCACCAACTGGGAGTGCACGTGATGGACATCAGAAACAAAGGATTTTTCCAGAACTACACACCTCCTTTCTTTCCAAGCCTGATGTCCAAGACTTTCTCAATAGTTTCACAGTTGTCTTGCTGCTCATCAGCTCCTTCCACAGTCATCTCTATCAGGTCATCAGAATCCGTCTCAAAATCATCATCTTCTTTGTAACTGAACGAGAAAAAAACCAAACTGATTAAAAAACTCTTGACTCTTCCCAGCCCAGAAACACACAGAATGGCAGAGACCAGAGCAAGCCTTCTCCAGCATTCATCCTGCAGTTCAGTGCATGTTCAGCACATGCATTTCTTAAGTTAGATATTCAGTGTTTTCCCCCAAGACACTTTATCAGATTAATTGTCTTGTCCATGTAGTTTTTCTGATGATGGCTCATACCAGGTATTTCATAAGGAGGTGGAACAATCCCTGCAGCCTCCTCCATTCAGTGAAAGATTATTTCATGTTTAATATTAGAGGCTGCAGAGCATCAAAAGGCTGCATGGGTGCCTACACTGCCCTAGGGACTACACTTGTCATCTCTGATGAACATTTAACCACCAGAAAGTATTCCTCCGGTGGCTCTTTGCAGGTCTCTTATGAGGACTGCCAAAAGGTGAGAAGGTACATTGGGGAATGGATAATGCTTTACCTCCACCGTGCCTCAATACTCTGTCCCAAGGCATCACCCAGCAGCCACTCTCAGACAATTGGTCCAATCTAGCACAGCTGCTCCCTTTTACTCATTTTAATCTATTATTTGCAACTCTTAATCTCACCTGAGAGTGCTTTAGAAATATTATGCAAACCTCCTCACATTTCTCTAAGAGGGACAGGTAAATATTCCCTCTTTATAGATGGCAAAACAAGGTAAAGTGAAGTCAGATGTTCCCAGCATGAACGTGCCAAAACAACCCCATCTCAGCTAACAGATACCTGCAGGGCAGAGCAGGGTCCCTGCAGGATCACACAGGGAGTCAAGGACCTCTGAGGCCCCCTTATCCCCAGCCAGCCACCTCTCATCATCAAGCAACCCCACACTTCTTGATACCTGACATTTTTGGCTGCTCTTCGTCGAGTTTGCCTCTTGGGGGTCTCATCATCTTCATCATCATCATCATCTTCAGAGGAGTCTGGTTTCTTTCTCTTCTTTCCACGCTGTGGTTTGTAAGTCTTTTTAACACTGGTTTTGGTCACTGTTCTATAAGAAGAATTAAAAAAACAGAATGGTTTATGAAACATCCATTTTGGCAAGTCTTTAAGAAAGCATGAATCTCAAATACTAGACTCCTAGGGATTTAGTCTGCTCTAATTACCATGGAACCCACTGCATCACTACAGGAGCATGAAATGGGCAGACAAGAGAGTAACTAAGTCCTAGGTTTAGTAGGTGGTAAACATGGGTAAAAAACAGAGACTACCTCCACCTAGCAGAGGCAGACAAGACTTATGCAGAAAGAGACAGACTGAACCAACCACTCCTTACCTCCTTTGGGCAGGTCTTCTTGCTTTAATTTTCTTCTGTTCAGGCTCACTCTCTCCACTGCTGCCTTGCTCCCCTCCATCTTCATCCTCTTCTTCACCAGAGATAACTCTTTTCCATTTGTTTCTATGGTCAGAAACACAGGTCAAGAAGGGCAATCGTATTTCAACACAAGCACTGGCTAAGCAGACATCCAAGCCATCAAGGTTAACACTAGCAGGTCATCGTTCTGAGTAAAAGCTCAAGTTGTGCTCTTGGTTGTTGAGTGCAATGCAGGGGGAATTTCAGGAAGAGACCTCAGTCACTGAGGTTTTGGTTCACATAGTGGCAGCGCATCTTGAGTGAGGGTGGCTCTTAACACATCCTACAAGTGCCTGTGGCAGAGCTGCACTTCTTACAACTGGGTGGGCAAGTGCTCCAATTCATTTGGTTTTCTTTTCCATTTCTGCGTTCCTGAAATGAGCTGGAAAAGTCTTAAGGGAAGTGCTCTTTTTTTTCCACTTACAGAGCAGGAGCCACAGCACACACAGTTACATGATCTCCTTGGAGCCTGGGAAATGGAGGAAGAACCCTCCTGCCATCTAAACTCAGGCAATTCAAGTTTCCAAGTGTGAAGGTAAATCACACCACACCACTAGTGGAAGGAAGCCCCATTATCTGTGGGCAATTGAGAGCAGCTCCAAAATCCCCTCTGAAGGAGCCCCTCTTTTCTCCAAGGAGAGTCCCCAGGGATTATTCCCCTCGCCCAGGAGAGGTCCATACTACCACAATCCTCCCTGCCCTCGGTTACCTTCCCTCCTGCATTGATGTGTACAACTAAATGAAAACTTAACAGATAGAAGAAAGGGAGCAGGATGATGAGGCTGTGTTTATGTTTTCTCTAGCAGGCTTGCTTTAATCTTTGGAAAAGCTAAAAAGAACTTATTAGATGGGAAAAGGCTCCGAAATATAACTGTAAGTGGACTCAGTTATGGTAATCAGGCATTCAAAAATAGCCTTTATGGAAGTTCTTTTGTTTTAGCAAACGTTATAATAGAAGGGGGATAAGAATTTGTCATTTTATTCTGTTAATCAAAGAGGTGGGGGGAAAAGGGATTAACTTACTTTTAAGTATGTTATCATTAAGTACACTTTAAGTAGTTATTCTCTCTGCAGGAGAACAAGTAACCTGACGGAGCAGTGACAGACTGACAACAGAGCAAACCCGGCTTGTTCAGATTCCATCACAGGCAAAGTGGGAAAATATAAACCAAAGAGAAGTTGGGACATTGCACCCATCCACAGCTCCACATTCATGCTTCGATTTCAGTCACCCAAAGTATTATTACTGGAAATATTAAATATTTTGCAAGCTTTCCATGTTGACACCACCTACCAAACAACTGGAAAATACAGCCAAACAAAGTACCACCATCCAAAACCCTTTCCCTAGAAACTTACGTTCTTTTCATCTGCTTCTGGCCTCTTCTTTTTGGGCTCTCATTTTCAGATTCACTACTTGCCTTTAATTGAAAAGAAAGAAAATCAGGTTGTAGGCTTCACTCTGCATTGTCTCCTCAAGGATGCTCCAGAAAGGAGCTGGAGAGCTCTGAACATCTGTCCTGGAGTCCCTGAGCTCAGGATGTGTGAAGCTGCGACCCACCTACCCCTCAAGCAACCTTCATGTGCCTTCCTAGCAGATGTGCAGCGTGTGTGATACCCCATGGATTACCATGGGATGAATTTAACCCTCCAAACCTTGCACTGCCTAGATGCTGGAGGCAAAACATGCCCAAGGGGAGCTCAGCTGCTGCCACCTCTGCCTGTGTTGCAGAGTGAGCATCACTCCTGCCTGGAGCTCGAGATTCAGGCAGCAACATGACTTAGTGCTTTCTGGACAGTGCTTTCAGGGCCTGCCACAGTGCTAAGGCTCAGCTGTTTGACCAGGTCTTTAACTGAAAGTGCAGGGGCTGATTGTACTTTCCTAAGTGCCCATACTTGCCATTTGAGCAGGGATCCTGCAAGATTTAGAGGTGTTTCTGTGGCTGCAAAGACTTTCACAGCTACAAATACATTATGATCTCTGCCTTCATTAGAGAAACTTCTTATAAGGAAGGAAAGTCTCCTAAGAAGACAATACTCTCATCACAAGAGTGTCCTTGCTTTCCTGTTTTCTCCCACAGCAAAACTTGCTGAGGACCTGACTGGGTCAGAGCCATGTCCTGCTGCTTTCCTTCCTTCTAATCCTCCACTCTCCAGCACTGAGTTCTCTCTGGTTGAACGTATCTAGAGGTATTCTCACTACTTGCTGTACTATTTTAAATGCAGGTGTCATTAACTCCTACAGACCAAAATAGCTAAAAAAAAAAAAAATAATCTTTAGGCTGGTTGTGCACGACCCAATTTTCATCAAAAACTACTCAACCATAAAAGCCGATTATCACACAAATAACACCCTCAACCAACACATGACTCCGCATACACTTGCCCCAGAAAACACAAGTTGGCAGAGAGGAAACTGAAGAAACCAATGTGAGATTTCTAAAGGAGTATTAAAATGATAAAAGTAGCCTCCAATATTGCTTGATTTACACACAACAAATAGCTTCAAACTGCTTTTTGCCACTGTATTCAGCTTTCGCACTAGGAAGTGTCTGTCCATCACCACAGGCATCTCCTGGTGCACCCCCTCCGCTGGATACAGCCAGCAAAGCTCACAGCCAAGAGCTGTCCAAACAAGGATTTAGTGAGAAGGTGTGAGCCGCAATATGTAAAGTCGAGGCTCTGGGGGACCATGGCTCACCCCTCTGCTTGCTTTCTGCATCCTGTATTTCCATTTTCCAGCTTCCCTTCCACCAACAGAGATTCCCCTCTCACTGTTACCAGTGTTTCCATTAAGATACACTGAATACTGGATGCTACGTTAGACCAAGAGCTTTGCTGAATTCCACTGTGCTTGGGTGTCAGATTTACATGTGACACAGCACCACCTTTTGCGCCATATCTAACTACAAACATATGTTCATCCACCCATTCCCAGCACGAAACCTATCTCACTGACCTAGCATCCAGGAAGCAAGCGACTTGCAAACCCCAGGGACAGCCCTACCTACCCTTGCAACATAAGCCAGCCATTCCAGATTTCAGTTTAGATAAGTGAACTTCAAAAGCCCTCCATTTTCTGTTTCTCTTTTAATCTCCTATCCCCTTTCTGAAGAGTGCTGCTCTGCCATTCCACTGCTGACATGGTTTTTGAGAGCTGCCCCTCAATGCACATTTACTCTTCTCAGTCTTTTGGCAAGCCACAAGAGAGGTGGATCTTTTTCCTACTGTGTGTCAGAGAAGACCAGATCTGGAGAAAACAACCGCTGGCTCTTTGAAACTAACTCCACTTTTTGGCCAAGTTTCTGGTGTCCATCTTCCTAATGCCTCTCCCCCACCCTGCTCCGTGCCTGCCTCTCCAAATCTCTTGCTAATCTCTTAATGACTTGTCTTTTCCTCACACACCTCCTCCTGCCTTGAAAAACTCTAACTTGTGACTGCAATTCAGCCGCCTTCGGTTACGTCTTTCAAAGGCACCACTGTCTTTTCTGGATGCGTGTCAAGCCCAGCTCCATCTCCTCTGACACAGCCAGTCCCCAGCCTGAGTCATGTGCCTGCCTTGTGCTCCCACATCCTCCCTGTCCGGGTGCCTGCAGCCCCATGGCAGTGACTCAGCCTCGCCTACCGCCCATCTCACTAACTCCTCCCTGCATCCTGACCTGGGGTGCCAGGCTCCAGCCCCTGCCTGAAAGCTCCTTTTACCATTTTATACAGAAAACAATAATAAGTATTTATTTCTTAAAGCAGAATCACATTTTAGCAATCTCTTAATTCTGCATAAATCCACATTTCAGGACTCAGCCACAAAACACTATGCTGACTTGACTGAATCATCCCAAGGGTGAGATTTACACCTCTGCCCTGGACTATGCAAGCTCAGAGCTTGTGCTTGTAACACCCCATTATCAGCATCAACCCACAGGCTCTGGCTGGTTAAGGACATGTAGAGGATAATCAGCAAGCTGGGAGCATGCCAGGTCCAGACCATGACCCGAGGTGCTGCCTGCCCTCCAGCCTGCCACTCACCATCACCAGGAAGCAGACCAGTTGGGAAATCACATGCAGCCTGATCTGCAGTAACATCACCTCCCTGCGTGACACATGCTGAGATGACGAAATCCACCCCCAGTCCCCACCAGGGCTTTTGTCAGCCCAGCAAGAGATGCTGGGGGCACATGGCTCCCTCTCAGAGCCCCAGAACCCTGGTGGGCACAGGCTGCCCCTCTGCGGTGCTGCTGCTGTGGCCGAGGGAAAGATGACTTGCCTTCCCTAGTTCCCTCTTTCCCTTCCAAACACTACAAACGTGCCCAACTTACTCCTGCACCACCACTTCCAACCGGGCCAGGAACTGCCCACTTACAAGTTGCTTTCCAGCTGAAGGGATCAGCCTTCCCTCTGACTCCTCCCATCTAATTCATTCTCTCTCCCTGCACACAAAGTGCACACACTTTTATTGATTAATTATGCTGCATTTTGCTGTGGAGCCACATAACACAAAACATAATGAAGCTCCATACACAGCACCAAGCAAGGCAATGCAGCAGCAGCAGCTTTAAACTGCTCTTACAGATTGTCCATGAGTGTCCTCACCACTAGCCCAGGGCAGGAGAAATGGAGACTCAAGGCCATTGGCATGGTCCAGGTGAGCATCTTCAGCTCATGCTGCCTACTAGGAGAGGTGAAGACTTGCTTAAACAGAGGCAAGAAACATTTCAGACTAAAGGCAAAGTGAGGATTTGCTCGTTGCAGGCTTCTCAGAGGCTCCAGAAAAGCTGGAGGACCTCAGCTCACCAGGTTAATTTTCTTACCTCTGCTGAAACTCTCTTTCCCAGTGGCACTGAGACTATTAGAACTTTTAGAAAATACAAGGCAAAACACTGATCAAAATGCCGATGAGCACCATTTTTCTTCAATGATGAAACCAGTTGTATTTTGGGAACGCTCTGGTGCGTGACTTGTGGCCTCTCTCTCACAGAAAAGATGCACCATGTGATTTATTACTAATTCCAATCCGAAACTGTCCTTTTTATACTCAAAAGAGTCTGCCTGTTTTGGCCACATTTATTTCTCAGCTGCCCCAGACCACTCAGAAAGGCACCTGGCTCTGCATGTCTCTCATCCTCCAGCTGAAACCTAAAGCTGATTTATTAACTGCAAAGAAAATGCATGGGCAAGTACTATTTTTACTAAAAACCTCACATCTGCTCTTATTCCTGGAGACAGCTCTAGTCCCCAGAGCTGCTCTGTACCCCTATGCAAAACCCTGCTTTCGCTTCCTGATCTTTCAGCCCATGTCTCTGTATCAGTAACAAGTTATTTATCCCCCCTGGTTGCAGCTCAGAGACCTACACAACGTGCCCAAAGGCCTACAAGCAGTTCCCAGAAGGCAATTACAAATTCACAGAATGGGTTGGAAGAGACCTTAAAGCTCATCCGGTTCCACCCCCTGCCATGGGACCCCTTCCACTAGAGCAGGTTGCTCCAAGCCCCTGTGTCCAGCCTGGCCTTGAACACTGCCAGGGATGGGGCAGCCATAACCACTCTGTTCCATTGCCTCACCCCCTCACAGTGAAGAGGGTGAACGCAGCACAGAAACTTAGAATGGAAAAGCCCTTCTGGGGGCATGGGGGCTGCTGTCCTCCCACTGCAGGCACCGAGTCGTACAGCCAGAAAGCAAACCAAACAGGAAAACCCCTTATGCTCCACCTCATTAATAACACAGTGACATTTACTCTCACCGTGCTCATTTCCGTGCTGGTTTTTGTTCCGTCTCCCATGTTCGTACTTCCCTTTCCTTTTATTACTACATGCAGATTCCCTTCCCCAGTTCTTCTTAATTTCTTTCTTATTCTCAGTCTTCATCCTAGTTTCTCTCTTCTGGATCTCTCAGAATTTATCTTCCTCTCCTCTACGGTTGTCCAAGTACCATCCCCTCTCTAATACACAACGTTTGTGCTCAGATGCTACAGATGCAGTAATCAGAGTTGAAAGATCGTATCTCATTTAAGAACTTACAATCTTAAAATCTCCTGCCACGGAGAAGCTTCCCCCTGTTAAAGCTTTCAGCCACTCTCAATCATTTCTATCACAGAAATAACCCTACCCAAACTGCTGGCCTCAGAGCACAAATTAGTGAAGGAACAGTGCCCCAAAACCTGAACCACCTCCACACCATGTCCCCTGACAAGGGTGAGTCACGGGGCAGCCCGCAGGGAGGTGTGATGCTGATTCTTGTTCTGTGCTCTGCGCCTGCAACGCTGCCTGGGCGATGCTGCTGGCTAATACTGCAGAGAAGCGTTAGGGAAGAAGGCAATTACAAGCTCTTAGACACTGTGCTGGAAGTCCCAGGCAGCAAGCAACAAGAGCAGGTCACTGGTGACAGGATTAACCCTGTAAAGGTAAAAAGCAATCTTAAGAGGTGTCAAGCGCCTTGGGTTTCTGCCAGCTCCAGCAGCGGCAGGGAGTGCTCAGCACCATGCAGGCTCGAGCTAGACTATTTCCTCCCTCTTGGCGTTTAGGTCTTCCAAAAGCAAGACTTTCCATCTCCTCCTGCTCTTTGCGAGGCCTCAGCACTGTGCTCCTGACTCGTCACACCCTCCATCGGACTCTGCTGCAGATGGGAGTTGCCCTATGGGGACCAGTCAGCGTTGCTTCGGGGAAGAGAGAAGGGAAGGGGACGGTCCAATTTTGTTAATTTTGGCTTTGTTTCACAAAGGTGGCAATGGGATCATTTGGAGGATGGGTTGTTTTTTTTTTGTTTTTTACAATATTTTGTGGTATAGCAAAGTTTTCACATCTCAGATTTGAAGAAGTTTTATCGTACCTTAAATAGTAGGAAATAAAGATATTGAAAAAGAAAACAACATTTGCAAAACCACGTAATATTGTAAAACAAAAAAAGATGGGACTTACCTGAGCCCCTAAGAGGGCACTGGGGTCTGCAGCGGAGGTCTGTGGTGGGTGTGACATCGCCAGCACAGTGCATGCCGCGGCATCGCACAGAGAGGTGGCCGGCGAGCCTGGGCTTTGCCGAACTTGAAAAGGAAAACAAAAGCTACGTCAATGATGTGCCCAAAGCCCTCTCCTAACCTGCTGCTCTGCGGGACATCCAGCACAGGAGTCTGGGGAGGTGCAGGTGGGGGCACTGGGGGTGCCACAAGGCTCAACAATAACACATCAGAGCAAGAAGCTGGAGACCTGCGCCCACCGCGCAACTCGGGACCCCTTGAGCATCCAAATGTGCATTTTGGTGGTGAAGCTCAAAACCCTGAGCTGACCATCAGAGAGTACCACTGGGCTCCTGCTCTGCTGAAAACCGGGTTCATCTTCACATTCCCAGCCACATGGTTTGTACCTGGCTCTATGCCCCAAGATCTGCTTCCAGTCTAAGCCACTCTCTGGTTTTCTTTACCCTCAGCTATAGCTACTCAACCTTCCTGAAGACCTTGCTGATGGAAAGCTCTATGCAGAAAGCCTCTTAGATGCAAATGAAGGTGCTAGTTAATTTCTACAGCCTCAGAAGAAAAGCACAAGGAACTATGAGGTTTGTCTGCCAGGCTCTGACTGCTGTCACCTCCAACTGAAGCAGAAAAGACCCCCCAATATTCAACTAAAGTGACAGTTCATAAAACTGAACACACCCAAATGCATTTATTGGTGTGATCCAGTCCAGTATGGGCAACAATGACTGTTTTGTTGTTATGAGGCGTTTCTGGGAACTTTCCTTTATTCCTGGTGGTATCTGTGTTGTGGTTTGGTTTGGGTTTTGTTTTTACACAGACTCATTCTCTCGAGGACATTTCTACAGCAGAACATGACTTGCATTACACCTCATTCCAGCAATCAGATCTCAGCCCAGTGTCTGTCCCGCTGACTCCAGAGATCTCAGGACAAGCAGGTCCACCTGCAGGACTGGGACCTTAACTATGAGCTCCAACATCCAAGCACCAAGCTAGAACTCGATGTTTACAAGGCAATGCAGATGAGACCTCCCTTCGCTCTTTGTGTTTGCTTGGTTTTATATGTTCAATGATCCCTCAACCCTTTTTTTTTCCTTACCTCATCTTTAATATTAAATCGTGATGGTTCTTGTCTGCTTCGGTTTGACCTCCTAACCCCATAAACATCAGGATATTCTTCCCACATCTGCAAAATAAACAGACCATCAGAAGGCCTGCTTCACCCCAATTGTTTCTGACACTTCAGAGAAGCTTGATGGTCAATGTTTTCTTAAAAACCAACAAAAAACCATTAAGTAGCAACCAGTAGATGAACACTTTAAAACACTGGCTGAAAAGGATTATGATTATTTTGGGGTATTTGGCAACACTCTAAAGCAGCATCTTTCATCTCAGTATTATCTTTACAGCGGTCCATCTTTCCACCAGGGTACAAATTACTTTCCAGCTCACTCACCCTGAAGGACAGGGCATTGAGACAGTCAGGCCTCTGCAAGCAACGGTGCTGAAAGTAAAGGAGGCAGCACCTTGCACGTGGAATGAATGGACCTACCAACTCAAAAGGACAATCCGCTGCTGCTAACAGCTTCCACCACAATTCCTTTCCACAGGGAAAGCCCCACCAGCTGCCTGAAGAGTCCAGAGACGAGACATCACCAGCAGCAACTTCAGAAGTGAATTCTGCGGCCCGGCTGGATGGCAAATGGACCAGGACACCCTGTCCTTTGGTAAGGCAAAGGGTGGTGCTGCCAGTCCTTCTCCTGAATGCACTGATGCGAATGCGGTTTGGCAGCACTGGACATGTGGACGTGCAGAGCTGACACTGGGAACAGTTGTGCTCTATTCGCCGTAACCAGGCCCTAAATAGTTTAATACACTGTGTGTATCATGCATTTGCTCTTGCTGGATGGACAGGATGAGAAGGGGGAGACAAGAACTGATGCCCTGAGGGATGTGAATGCAGAGCTGTGTTGGTGACACAGGACACCAGAAGATTTACAGGGCAGATACAAACCACCAACGTGCCTCTCAAACACCTACACCAACAATGCCCTTCTCCCTCAGCACAGCTTATCCTCTTACAGTTTCCTAAACCTGTTCACTCTCCTTCTGCTTCTCTCTTTGTCTCCAGTCCTCAAAAGTCTCTGCAAGCCACTGGCACAAAAAAGAAATCAAAATACACTGGGAGATGCAGGACTGCAGGCTGCAGGACAGCAACTTTTCTGCTGTTATGGAAGTATTAAGATAACACTGCAACAGACAGATGGTGAAGGTGTGTATCTGCTGGGCATGAGAGTACAGAGGGAAACTGACATGAAAGAACTCAAAATACTCCCCAAAGTGTTCGAGGAACTTGTCTTTTCATCTTTTAAATGGCACAAGTTTTGGATGAGGGATCAGCTCCTATGACAAATGTGAACAGCACCTAATGCAAATTAACCTCACCTTCATGGGTGTATCTAGACAGAAATACAAAATAAACAATATAATGATTAATTGCGTTGGTTATTCAAGGACAACAGGTATCAACACGCCCAGGTTAGAGCTAGCTAAGGAAAACACCCATTAACAGAGAAATTAAGGAAGGGAGAGGCTTTCTTATTAGAGGGCACCCTGACCTTTTCATGTTTCATCATGCTAATTATCACCCTGGGTCTGGATGTGCTCCCTCATAAAGTGATTTTAATGTTTAGTGTTAGGGACATGCTGTTAGAAGCCCACAGAGGAAGAGAAAACTTACCAACAATAAAACAGGACTTTGAATATTGCATTGCCACAACTGCCTTATAAATGCATCCTTCTCCTTGCCAGTCTGAACACAGGAGATTCACCCACAACCTGAATCAGCAGCCTAGAGATTTGTGAGAAGCTGGTAATAAAACCCTTCACTTCCCCCTAGCAGGTACATGCGGAGAACAGGCTGAAAGCACTGATCTTCCTTCTTAGTCTTTATGTACTTAGCAACTTTCTCCATAAAACTCACTCTTGCAGCCAGCTGTGCAAAGTGCAAGCTACAGCTAAGAACAACAGGACACTTAAACACCACAAACAAAAAATATCTGACCTAACCTGATCTTCCTCCCTCCAAGTAAACTCAGTTCACCCAGTTCTGTCTCCAAATGGGTATTTGGGCTCCTCTTCCTCACCTCACACTACACTGGGTTACTCAGGTGCCTCCATCCCTTGGTAAAGCAGGTATCCAAGGCACAGCTTCTGCACTGGGGAGCTTTTTTCCTTCTCCTTTTTTCTTTACTTTTTTCAAAGAGGAGATGAGAAAAGATGAGAAAAAACAAAAGTGGCCCAAATCCTGGACAAGCATTCTCCTGATTATGAACCACATAGGGAAGCTTAACTGCTTCTGAGGGAGAGAAGAGACAGGAGAGAGGAATGGAAAGACAGAGGGAGAGGATGAAATGACAGGGTCATGTATTAATGGCAGGCACCTGCTCCTTATTCGCACCAGTTCAGCCCCATCACTGTCTATTTGGTGACCAAAGGACTGTCCCATCAAATACGTGCAATTCCTGCTCACAAGGATGACTCCAGCAGGGCAGAAGCACACAGACTAAACAGCCAGTAAGTGACTTGGAGACAGCAGAGGCTGGAGGCTGTTTGGTCAACATGCAAAGTGGCAGGGAAGTTGAAGACAGCTTCATTAAGGTCCTGCTGTCTGCCCCTTCATGGTGCGCACAGGGGTAACACGGCTATGCAGCGGGGGCAATACCTTCTTAACATCTGCTATCCTTTCCTTCTTAGAGGCCGGTTTTTCTTTGGTTTCAGGAGGGGTCTGCTGGGATTTCGAGTCCATTGATTCACTTTCAGATTCAGACTGACTTTCAGAGGACTCCGAGCTGCTGTTTGACTCGCTGCCCTGCTCGCTTTCAGACTGGCTTGCAGAGTCAGAGCCAGAGGCTTCTTCAGATGCCGAGTGGCTGATGGTAGAGAAAGAAGAGGTTACATTTTAACTGTACTATCACAGCTTTAAAACGTGCAGTGAGCAACCCCTGAGCCATGTCCAAGCTCCAACAACAGGCTTGCAACAGCCTAAATGTGAACTGTGAGGTCCCAAACAGACACCCTGCACTGGCATTTTGAAGCACAAACAATTCCTTCCCAGAACAGGCAATGAATACATGGTGAAAGTGCAGCCTCAAAAATCACTGCCCAGTGCATCCTGCTCTTCAACCACAAAAGAAAAAGAAGAGTGGCAGTACCATAAAGAGAAGCATTAGCAGTACAGCAGCAAAGGCCCCATGGGAGGATCTGGCTCTCTTAGGGCAAGCAAGAATAAGGCATGTTGGCAAACGGAGCATCCAGAGATTATCCTGCTCTTCTACAGATGAGCAGTTGCTCTAGCACGGCTCTACCCTACATCCCAGTACAGCCAACGGTTCGAAACTCAGCCATCCAACTTCTGAACGACTCCAGCATCAAGTATTGTATGCATACTACTATATATTACAGTGGAAAACATGTTTCTTGCAAAAGGAATACATTCAGCAAGAGAGAAGCAGAAAGGACCTTATCCAGGCACGTGGCTGGGGCAGTTCCCGTTTCAAGGATTACACCAATGCAGAGCGAGTTTCTCAAGTAGCCAATAATGGGAAAGCAGAACATCAAGTAGGTGTATTTATTCCCCTCACCTTTACATTTAAATATTTACATTAATTACAATTTACATTAATATACAGAATAGTCATTTAAATGCAGGCTACTCAACTAAACAGTAAGAGGCTAAACTCTTTTAGGTGGCCAAAATACTCCAAATACCTTTGCCCTACCACTCCAACATCTGTTTTTCATTTAAACCCCACTTAAAGAGAACTGATCACTATAACATACACATGCTAGTAAGGCAGCATTACAAACCCCGCTGTCACAAACAGAATGGAGTGCAGCAGTAACAGCACTACGAACTTTCTGAGTGAGGAGCATCTCTTTCCAAGGCGGCTCTTGATCTGCAGCTGGGTGCTTCTGTAGCGTGTCAGGGTGTGCTGCGGATACATCATCGTGAATGAAGAGCTGGCAAAGCTTTGCAGAGGGGAAACACGTTTTTCTCTTTTTTCTCCTTTTGTACAAAACTACAGCAGTGGGACACACGAAAGGCTCTGCTCAGACTTCACAATTCAAAAAAGTAGTAATGCAAGGACAAAAAAGCAAACGCGTGTGTGTAATTCCATACAATACCACACAGATCGACACACACTGCAGCGACGGCATCACTAAGCTCAGCTACCGTTCATCCGTGTACGCAGGCAGGGAGAATCCGCACCATGGGAATCAGTTCTGCGCTCTCGGATATGGGACTGTTAGAACCAGTGTGAGCTCTGTGGGCCCCAGGAGCTCCAGCACCACCGGCTGCTCCCGCGGCGCAGCTCCCGGCTGCCGTCCCTCATGG